TTTAATTTTTTTTTCAACGTTTTTTATTTTATTTTTGGGACAGAGAGAGACAGAGCATGAACGGGGGAGGGGCAGAGAGAGAGGGAGACACAGAATCGGAAGCAGGCTCCAGGCTCTGAGCTGTCAGCACAGAGCCTGATGTGGGGCTTGAATCCACGAACCATGATACCTTGACCTGAGCCAAAGTCAGACGCTTAACCGACTGCGCCACCCAGGCGCCCCCAGAGGATGGGCTTCGATGCCTACACCGTGGCACTCGGCGTGTCATAGGAATGCAAGGCGTATGTGTTCGAAGGACGAGTGAAACGGACGAAGGCAGAACCAGAGTCTCATACAGCCAGTGAGGGATGTGGCAGCAGAACTCAGGCGTCTGTCCCACCCACTAGCTCCACGGACAACCTGCCTCTTGTGATCGAGACTCCACAAACGGGAGCTCTTTTCTCCCCTCGTCTCACGCAGACACGTACGCGAGTACACGCTTGGCTTCTGCGTCATCGGAGGAATGCCCAAAGTCTGAGGATGGCCTGTGACCGTGGCTCTGGGGGCTGGACACCTTGCGGGCCAAGCATTCACGGAGCTCCTGAAAGTCCAGTTCTACACCTCTCAGTGGAATGTCTCCTTGACCCCAAGGACACGTGGCCAGTGGTTTCACTGTTGAGGATTCTGAGCCTCAAACTCCCTGAGGTTCAGACAGGAAAATAAAGGCGAAGAGATTAGGTGGGGTTTTGCCCACCTCCCTTTTTTTTGGGGGGGGGGAGCGTTGATAACAGCATAATGGTGCCATGTTGGAGAAAAGTTTAAGACTAAGGGAGAGCTGAGGCAGAGGCCCTTCATGGGGAGAAGAGAAGAGAGACCACAGGCCATGCTTAGCTTTTTGACACTCGTCTTTACCATCATTTTCTAATTATCAGCTTAGCACAGTGCTTGTGCCCCCAACCCCACTCATTCTAGAAGAGCTTATCTCGCTCATTATTTGAAAGGCAGATTTGAACCCAGGTTCCATCAGTTACAATCAGCATCATTTCAGGCAAGTCATTTCATATCTCTGTGTCTTCCTTCCCCTGTCTGCAAAATGTGGTTAACAGTAGCCCCTAGCGTGAGAACGGAGTGACATAACTTCTGTAAAGTGTCCCAGCCAGGGCGTGCCATTTAGTAAGTGCTCAATAAATGGCATCAACGATGAGAAGGATAGTGACAATGATGAATGTTGACAATGATCGTGTCCACATCTTCCCTG